TCTAATAGTACAGCTGCACAGGGCCAGGTTCTGCCACCCTTCTTGCCTCTGCTGCGGTCCTATGACATGTGATGACCTGATAATGGGAGGCCCCATGTAACCAAAGGGGAAGCCAAGGGCCTAGAAGCCTATGTGTGGGCCTAACACTGAGTCATAATGGTGGAACTTCCTGCTTCCAGATTTATTGACATATGATATTAATTAAGTGTCCTTAACTAAGCCAGTTTTACCTAGTGGCCTATTGCCCTGAAAGTTCCCAAACTAAAGCACAATGCACCCTATGGCATCAAGAGTTTCGGTATCTGGCCAATATTCCAACATGAATGAGGAAAAAATAATAATTATTGATTTTTAAAACACATTTTAGAAGAATTATAAAATGAAATAATGGCAGTGCAATTGTCATTTTTTTCAAAATGGCGGCTGCATGTAAAGTGAGAATCTGACTCCTGGCCTGTAGTGTATACTTGGCTCAGTCATCTCCATGCATTCACAACGGGGCGTTCTTACAGTAGATGCAGCAAAGATACTTCCTTCTGACAGCATCCTTTCCCTAGTGGAAGAGAAAACAGAAGAGGATGGTGGTTAATAGAGTTTAATGTTAATATGGAAGAATATAAAAATAATCTCACCCATTTTAATTCTAATAGAAATTAAAGCAGGACTAACTGACCTCTACCTTCTCTTCCATCCATGTAATGGGTGATTCAAAACATAATTTTCGGAAAGATTTTAAAACACCAAGAAACCCCAATATTACCCTATCAAGTTTTATATTCTCCAATGATTTAATACTTGGTTGTTTACCTGAAAGAAAATAAGCTTTTAGAAGAAACAACTGTTGTTTTACATAATGTCTAAGAATTTTCATTAGTTACTGAAGGGTTCTCCATTTAATCTTGAATGAATCATTTTATCGATGTTAGTACATGGGCCCACACTGGTATCAAGATTTTTATATTGGATTTTTAAACTATAATCCACTGGAACATAATTTCCCCAAAGTTTCTTACAGTCGAGACATATACTATATTGATAATCTCCTATCTAATTTGGTATCCAATGTTTTATGAAATATTCCCTCCTATGAGTTAGATTCCTGCCTCAACTGTATATATTATTATGCTTGTAGGCTATTCAGTAACAAGACATCTGTTCAGAAATCCCTCTAGAAAGTTTCCTACATTATTTATGTCACTACTAAAACTATCTCCCCTCCCTTAAAAAAACAGCTGCTTTACATACAAGAGAAAAAAAGATCGTTATTTAGCCAGCAATGTTGATAAATGATTCTGGTGTCTTTTAGCTAACTGTCATTGCTTTCTATACACTAATTAGCTTTTTATACACCAATAAAGTCTCTTCTGTTCTCAAAGATTGTCAAGTAGCCATTTAACAGTAAATTTTAAATGCTATTCTTATATCCTCTCAATTAAAAGTAAATTTTAATGATTTTTATGTAAATAGTTTCAACCTCACAAATCAGTAAGATCTCCCCCAAAAGCTTGTACCATGATTTTTGAAAGCTCTGAACTTTTGTCTGCTTATTTTCTCCTGGAAGCTTAATATACTTACCAAAAATTTCCACATTCCACATCATCAAAGCTTTCATCTTGTCTCAAAAGAAAAAAGAAAAAAAGTTTAAATGCCGATTAAAAGCCAAAATCAACTATTTTCAGCCTCAATTTTCAAATGTCAGTTTGTTTTTACCTAATTCTAGTAAATTTATATAGTGTAATTCTAAACTTCACTATTTGACGTTTTCCCGCTGAAGAAAAGCAGTAGAACTTTTCACCACCTGTGTTGCTTTTGGAAACTAGCCCCTCCCATCTGTGGTCTGGACAACATAGTGCCCAGGCGGGTCCTTACTAAGGGGACTGCCTACACACTGCTCTCAGGACTCCAGCAATTACCTGTTGTTGCCCGGCAGCTGGATGTCCTGGAGAAGGGCCCTCTGTGAACAAGGTACCAACAAAAGAGATAGGTGACTTTCTACATTCAGCACACCATAAAAGGGAATTTCGAATAGGAAGAGAGGGGAAAGGAATCCATAAAAGAGACCAACTAAAGGTCAAGTCTTTGCATTTTTGAATAGCAACCATTTTCTGCTGAATTAGCTAATACAGTATTTCTCAAGCCTTTGAATTTGATTCCTATAGAGTTTAGCTTTTCCAAAATAAAAATGGGAAGGAAGTGTTGTTTTTCACTATGAAGAGGTTCTAACTAGATTTCAATTAAAAGGAAAAAAAGAAAAAGATATACAGCTTGATGAATATGCCTAGAATTCTTGGCCTAAATACAGAATTTGCCAAAACCCGGAGGCGGGGAGGGGGGGGGGGGGGAGTGGGGGGGATAGGGGGAGCTGGGGCTGGGGGGGGTGTTCTGCCCATTTAGAATATGGTGCATAATGAGGTTGCTGAACTAAGCTAGAGAAAACAGGAGGAAGCCACAGATTCCATTAGCTCAAGCAATATACAACTGCTGCTAATTATTTTTGTTCCATGACAAGAGTTGTTTTTATAAAGATAACCACCAACTACCACCACCATCTCCCCAAAAAACTGAACTGTCCTCAAATGTACCCTTAATTATTCTTCTCTGTTCCCACACCCTCAACAACTTTGGTTCTCTAGCCCTACTCGTTCCTGCTATGAAACCTGACAAAAATCTTGAAACAGAAAGAGAGAGAAGGGGGAGGGACACAGACAGAGAGAGAGAACGTATTTTGCCACCCTCCTGGCTAACTGAAATGCTTGTTCCCGAGATTACAGTAATTACAACCACAGCATGAGTTCCATACAAGCGCTAAATGAAACAGCACATCAATTAAAAAATAAACACTCCATTCTAGGAGAAAGACAACCCCCTGGGACGTCCTAACAAGCGTAAATGAACCTGCCAGGCTGCCGGCCCCTCGGGCCTCCGCCTCCCCTCCCCATCTTAAGGTAGTTGCGGAGCTGGCGGGGCCAAGTACTCCTTGGCGGTGTCCCAAGTGGCTGCTAAAAGCAGCTCAGGTCCCGCTCTGCTCCTGGCGGATCACTGATACGTGTCGGTGCGTCAGCGCCAGGGCTCAGCACCGCCTCCCACGGTAGAAAAGGAGGCTCTGGAAAAAACGTGAACTTTGGAGAGACATGTATTTGTTCCAAAAGTACGAGGCGAAGAGAGAGAATCCAGCCGCAGTCTGCCCTACTTATAAGTTCTTTCTTTTTCTTTCTTTTTTCTTCTTCTTTCCTTTCTTTCTCCCTCCCTCTTTCTTTTCTTTCTTTCCTTTCTTTCTTTCCCTTTCTCTTTTTTCTTTTCTTTCTTTCTTTCTGAAAGGAAATTATTTTTTTTCATAAAGAAGCACTGTGTCCTAGATGCTTTACATACTTTATCCCACCTATCGGAACCCCCTTTGAAATCCGTACGATTACCCCACTCTTCAGGTAAGGAAACTGAGGCTCCCCTGGCCACTCAGCGGAGGCGAGAGAATACTGCTCCCGCCCTTGTGCCTGGCGCCTCTCGCACACCTGGGGCAAGGGCGGCTGTGCTCCGGTACACCTCCTGGGGCGTCCCCCCCACCCACGTACAGCCCCACCATACAGAATGAACTGCCGTCCTTCCACTCCTCCCACATTTCCAAGCCTCAAACAGCGTCATTCTAAGAACCCCAAGAAGAGCACCCCTTCCCGGTTCTCCCGCAGAGCCTGACCCCAGTCAGGCTCCCGCGCACTCGCGTGCACGTAGGTTCCCCACCGACCCAGCTCACGGAGGGGCGCGGGGTCACCCAAATTCGGGGGCATTAGTAGGCAGCGACGTGACTTGTTTGAACGAGCCTGGAAAAGCACGCGCATGCATAAAAACCCCCATCCCGGTCCCCAAAAGCAGACTCGGGAGAAGGGAACCAAGAACTCAAACGCACTGAGCTATGTGGCAACAATCGTGGCAAAACCTCGCTCTCTGCGGTCAATCCCAAGGTTACCAAAACTCTCCAGCCGCAGAAAGCGCGCATGCCGTGGGGACACTCCGGACCGCCTTAAGGAAGGCTGAGTCTTGGGAGCGCATAGACTCCGCCCCGTCACCCGGCGATTGGTGCGCCCGGCCGAGGGCGGAGACCGAGTCCGCGCTGTATAAATATTCATGAGCCGGCCGGGCGGTGCGAGCGGGGCCGGAGCCGGGAAGTTGGGTGAAGGGCGCTGCTCCCGCCGAGGAGGAGGAGGAGGAGGAGGAAAAGGAGGAGGCGGCGGCGGCGGCGGCGGCGGCGGAGGCGGTGGCGGCTGGGCGCGGGCCGCGCCGCTCAGGTGTCTACTCCGCCTTCTTGGTCTGGATCTGGTTCTCTGTGTCTAGCAAGAAGGGGTCTGCCTACACCTCGCCCGATTGCCGGCCGGAGCGCGGAGCGGACTTTTACCGGAGGCGGAGTCTGTCAGTCCCGGCGGTGGACAGACGGACCGACGCCGGGGAAAGAGGGCGGCGGCCTCTGCGGAGGCGGGTCCCGAACTCCGGCGGCAGAGCTGCACAGCTTTGGGGGCGAGCATGAATCCACGGGGACAGAAAGGGGGCTGCAGGGGCTGACCCGGCGCGGGGAGCGGCCTGCCCAGCCATCTTGACTGCGCACCGCGGCCCGAAAGGAAACTTGCTGTGCCGCCGCCCTCTGTGCCCGGCAAAGTCACCGCACCGTCGCCGGCGCCGCGTGGAGAAGTGGCCGGGCGCGCGGGAGAGAAAGCGAGCGAGAGAGGGACGATGAGCCGGGGACCATCCACTGTGCTACGAGAGGGCTGAGTTCGACCAGGAGTCAGCAGGGCAGACTCTCGGGGACTGTGGTGCACGCCTGCAGAACGCTCACCGCCGCTGCCCAGGCTTCGGACCCCGCTGTGTGGACGAGTCCCGAGAAGGGACTAGGTTATCTGCAGACCCCCTTTCCGGGAGAGGCAGGAGAGAGACCAAGAGGGCACCCGCTTTCCCCTTATCCGGCTCCCTCGCCGAATCCCCCGGCGCCCCTCCGCGCGCCGCCTGGAGGGCGAGGGCGCGGGGCAGAGGCGCGCAGCATGGAGTGGGGTTACCTGTTGGAAGTGACCTCGTTGCTGGCCGCCTTGGCGCTGTTGCAGCGCTCGAGCGGCGCGGCGGCTGCCTCGGCCAAGGAGCTGGCGTGCCAAGAGATTACCGTGCCGCTTTGCAAGGGCATCGGCTACAACTACACGTACATGCCCAACCAGTTCAACCACGACACGCAGGACGAGGCGGGCCTGGAGGTGCACCAATTCTGGCCGCTGGTAGAGATCCAGTGCTCGCCGGACCTCAAGTTCTTCCTGTGCAGCATGTACACGCCCATCTGCCTGGAGGACTACAAGAAGCCCCTGCCTCCTTGCCGCTCGGTGTGCGAGCGCGCCAAGGCCGGCTGCGCACCCCTCATGCGCCAGTACGGCTTCGCCTGGCCGGACCGCATGCGCTGCGACCGGCTGCCGGAGCAGGGCAACCCCGACACGCTGTGCATGGACTACAACCGCACGGACCTCACCACAGCCGCACCCAGTCCGCCGCGCCGCCTGCCGCCGCCGCCTCCGGGTGAGCAGCCGCCCTCTGGCAGCGGTCACGGCCGCCCGCCGGGGGCCAGGCCCCCGTCCCGCGGCAGGGGCGGTGGCGGCGGGGACGCAGCGGCGCCCCCCACGCGCGGCGGCGGCGGCGGGAAGGCGCGGCCCCCTGGCGGCGGCTCAGCGCCCTGCGAGCCGGGCTGCCAGTGCCGCGCGCCCATGGTGAGCGTGTCCAGCGAGCGGCACCCGCTCTACAACCGCGTCAAGACCGGCCAGATCGCCAACTGCGCGCTGCCCTGCCACAACCCCTTCTTCAGCCAGGACGAACGCGCCTTCACCGTCTTCTGGATCGGCCTGTGGTCTGTGCTGTGCTTCGTATCTACCTTCGCCACCGTCTCCACCTTCCTCATCGACATGGAGCGCTTCAAGTATCCCGAGCGGCCCATTATCTTTCTTTCGGCCTGCTACCTCTTCGTGTCTGTCGGCTACCTGGTACGCCTGGTGGCGGGCCACGAGAAGGTGGCGTGCAGCGGCGGCGCGCCGGGCGCCGGCAGCACGGCAGGCGCGAGCGGCGCGGCGGCGGCGGCGGGCCCCTGGCGGGTCGCGCGCTCTCGCCCTCCTGGGCGCAAGCTGCTCACTAATGCGGGGGCCGCCGGCGCCCCC